GGCGAATTGCTGAAACTTCCCGTACCGTATTAAACATTTGAGAAATGAAAATAATCAATAATTGTTTTAAATAATTTCAAATAGAATATATATTATAAATACATACTGTAAATTTATAATTGATTTTTGAATTGGGCGATCAGCGTATTTTATAACCAACTTATGTGTATGTTTACAAGAAATTTGGTCATTTTTAATTAGATTTTTTTGATAATTTTTTTTTTGATGATTTAGAAATTTTTTCAAAATTTTGAATTTTTTTAGAAGTTTGAAATTTTCTGGAATTTAAAAAAACGTCTTTTCTAAATTTTTTGAGAGTTAGGAAATTTTTGAAAATATTCGATTTTTTAAAAAAATACTAAAATTTTTGTAAGAAATCGTTTTTTTTTTAATTTTAATATTTTTTAAATTTTTTTTTTGAAAATTATACATTTCGAAAATTTGAATCTTTGATTTTTTTAATTTTGAATTTTTTTTTGAAAATTTTCAAAATGATTAAATTTCCTGTAAATACATTTTTTGCACACCGTCTACTCAAGCAGAATGTTTTTGAATTAATCTAATCGGATGATCCGTTCTTTTAAAAACTGCATGACTTTTTGCAAAAACGCCTTGCGATCGAGTACGAACCTAATATTTTTTCAATCATACAAATCGGTTATATCATACTGTCGAAAATGTCGAGGACATTTGTTTGAACCATATACGTGAATTTTAAAATTAAAAATCTTGGTACGGAATCCAAAAAAAAATTGACACAAAATGGATACACATTATTAAAATCTCTATAAAATATCTGATAATTTGATGTACATATATCCAATGAACATTTTTAACGCCAAATGACTTTTTAATTTTTTTAAATTGAAAATCCATAACCGTTGGACCTGCCTTTCCAAAATTTTAATAAGTTTTTCATCTTGTCAATACAAGTAAAAACTTAAAAACTGTGTTGCCGTTTTTGGCACTTTTTTCATCTTCGGAACGGCTACGCCTGCCTTTGACAAAAACTAATCAGCACGTCTCCTTATCAATACAAATCGATTTTTTTTAAATAATTCAAATCGTTGATCGGTGTTCCCAAAATCGTCGATGAAAATTTGTATCCGCACACACACACACATAGATTTTTATCTAAGGTATGCCAAAATATTCAGAAACCTTTGAAACGTAAAGATACATAAAAAAAATTTTAGATTTTTGCGATTACTATAAGTTGCCCTACAGGAAGCTAATTAATCTAAGATTTGAGATTTAGCTATTTAGATAAAATTTTAAACTGCTTGTTTCAATGATTTCGCTTCCACTGAAAACGTACACATACATATGTAATTGTCTTAATTACATGCACAAAATATCTTAAAAATCTATTACTCCAAATTTTAATGAATTTTTATAACTTAACCAATATATCGTTTAGACCAGAACTTTCTAAAGTGATTCGTATGGACTCAAAGGAACCATAAAATGGTAAAAGAACCTCACGGTAATGGATCACCTTGAGTAATATCTATTTACTCATACTATCCATGATAAGAGGTCATATATAAAATTTATAAATTGACCTAAAAACTAAAAAAATATTGCACGTTTTTATAAAATTGTGTAAGTTGCACCTTTCGGATCACAATATGTATGAACTTGTAAAGATTGGCAATAATCTTGGCAAAATAAAAGCTTAAAAATCGTTAATCGAAAGTCAGACATCGTAACATCTAGTAGAAAAGAGGTTCAGCGTTATTACCAATAAGTGATCCATGGCGTTGCCCATGATACAAAAAGATTTGGAATCTTATGGTTAAAACCATTAACCGGGCAGGACACATAAAGGCGACTTCGAAAATTATGTGCGGATGTGGCGTATATTTTTGATCGAATATTAAGCTTCAAAAATATTAACAATCAATATATTTTTTATAGTTTTTCATTCATTTGGTATCAATAAAATATAAACATATGAAATTATAGAGACAACACACGCCCGGTTAACAGAGTAAGTATTAACTCTATTCGACATACACAGTTTCATTAAAATCGCCAAACAAGATCATTATAACAACGTTCTGGCACATTATTTGCTTTCAAATAAAAAAATATGAATAATTAACTTCCCGTAGGGTAAGTTATAGTAATTCCAAAAAAATCGAAAATGAAAATTTTTATATATCTTTATGTTTCAGAGGTTTCTTAACATTTTGGCATACCTTAGAAAAAATGGATGGATGTGTGTGTGTGCGTGTATGTATGTGCGGATACAAATTTTCGTCGACGATTTCGGGAACACGGATCAACCGATTTGAATAATTCAAAAAACATTCGATTCGTATTGATAAGAAGACGTGCTGATTTTGAATGACGTTTTTGGCGAAGGCAGGTCTAGCCGTTCCGGAGATACGGGGCAAAAAGTGCCGGAAACGGTAACTCAGTTTTTAAGAGAACGGAGCGTCCGATTTTAATAATTCAAAAAACATTTTACTTGTATTGACAAGATAAAAAATTTCGGAGATCTAACGAAAAAAGTAAAAAAAAATGCCATTTGGCGGTCAAAAATGATCATTAGACATATGCACATCAAATTTTCAGATATTTTATAGAGATTTTAACAATAAGTATAAATTTTGTTTATTTTCCTATGGGTTCCGTATCAATGTTTACCCGTTAGACAGCGACGCCGCGCTTACGCGCTTTATATTTTGTCTCTATGCAGTTAAAGCAGTACGATTACTTTGAAAAACAAGTTCAGATCTTCCAAAATATGTCAAATTAAAGAAAACATTTTTTTTTTAAAAAAAAATTAAAAAAAATATTTTTTTTTTTTTTCAAAAAAAAGTAAATTTTTGTCCAATTTATAGTTCCTTAAAAATCTTATTTTTTCGAAGTAAATTTTTTTCAAAAATGTTAATCGTTTTTAAAAAAAATAATAATTTTTGGTACGGGAAGTTCCAGCAAAGGCACGATGCCCTAATTGCCTTAAGACAGAATTCCACTTACAGCTAGTTTTTTCTTTATTAGTATCGTTCTATAAATATTTTTGTGAACTGTTTAGCTTAACGAGGACACTCATATAGTGTTATTGCATATAAATAAATAATTGTCAATATTTATTAATTTTTTTCAATCCAATGGTTTGGCGGTAAAAATAATACAAATATGATTCTACATCGAAAAAACACTCAAGTTATAAACTCGATATATCTTTCTGGGTTTATAGTACTGTTGCAATACATTAATATTTTATAAGTCAATAATCTCACAAATATTTGAAATACGCCACAATAATGAAATTATCCATAAACAAGTTGTGCCAAAAGCTGTACTATAATTACAGAAGAAATTCGAGTTTTTGTTTTCAAACTTTTATCAAAGTATTGTTAGATATCAAATCTAGTCATCATAAAGATATATTTATAATCGAATTCATATGTACAAGAATTTTTCATATCAACCTGATAAGATAACATTGTCAAACATTGGTGTAATTCTACACTTTGCATCCAAGATTATGTAATTAATATTGCTGAGAACATTGCACATAATATCATACTTATCATCAGCATAAAAGGGGGTAGTACGTAATGGCAAGTCTTGCTGTGTAATTACAGAAACTAGAGTCTACTAATATCTCTGATATCAAGAGGTAGTCATCTTCACCAGGAAATTATAGATCAAAATATGTTTTCAAGTGAGAATAGCCCTCTCTTAGAATATAAAGAAAATGCAAATGAATCGCTAGCAATTTCTCATGTAATAGCTTTAAAATCTTATATCTAGCCCAGAGAAAATCCGATTTGCTAATTTTATGTTTTATCGACGTTTCAAGTTATTCGCAATCGAATGAGACCAAATTTGGTAAAATTTGGTGTGTGTGTGTGAGTTGATTTATAACCTCTCATCGACGTTTTCTCAAAAACGGCTGAACCGATTTCAAAAATTTAAGAGTAATTCGATGTAACTCGATAAGGACTTGCATTGATTAGTTTTGCGCGACGAGTGACCGTTTCCTTATAATTAACGGAAAAGAGTAAAACGATTTTGAAAAACCGTAGTAAAGATATTGATGGGAAAAAGTGCTGAATAGTTTTTAGTTAAGATCGGCCGGATCGTTTCTTCGTAATTAACTATTGGAAAAAAAATCGACAATTTTTATGAAGATCATGGTCTTAAAAAGACATACTAAAATATCACAGCTCTACGATAAGCTGTTTAATTTTAAAAATTCATCAAAGCTTGGAAAAATGAGCAGCGCTTTTTTTACGAGAGTCAGAATTATACCTTTCATCGACGTTTTCTCAAAAACGGCTGAAACTATTTAAAAAATTTAAAGGCCACACATAAAACTTGATAAGCATTCACGATGATTATCAAGGGGTTTTTGATACGATCTGGCGAGCAGTTTCTTTAGAATTAACAGAAAAGTGCAAAATTGTTCGTCCAAGTTTTCGCGTAAAATCCTGAATCAATTTTGAAAACTCAAAATCTATTCGAAAGATATCATTCGGAAATTGTGCTGATTACTTTTAGACAAAGATCGGCAAGGCTGTTTCTTCGTAATTTATTATTTAAAAAAAATTATTCGACGATTTAAATGATTATTTGTTGAGTTCTGGGGGCACCCTGTCCTGTGTATTTATATATATATATATATATATATATATATATATATATATATATATATATATATGAATCGTTCACCTCTTATAGAGAAAATTTTCTTAAACTGCCCTAAACAATTTAAGTAAATTTCTAGTCAAGTACCGTGCATTTTGAAATAAATGCGCTGCGAGGCTATGAGACGTAGATTTTACGCAAACTGTTTATTTCTTGAGAAATCTTGCATTTATAGTGAAAAAAATCGAAAAATTACTATATACGAGTATATACATATATATAACAGAAGCGAAATTAAATATAATGTTTCTGCATAAATGACATGATAGGAACAAGACAAGACAAACATATTTATATATTTCCATGTATAATAAAAAAAAGAAATACGATACCTTATGAGATAGTGTACGCTGACAATGCTTTGTGGCTTCATTAGTTTATCGTATATAATTGTGTTCTGAGTAACCACCCAGGCGTAGCCCCCATCGCGGCACAGAAACCTATATTGCGGAGTTTCGCTCTGGCCTTTGGAGATCACTGATTATTAAAAAAAATATATAAATTAATCAATTAGACAGAAGATTAAAAACTATATATATACCATATCAATATCAATATGAAATTTAATATATGCAAATTAATATGAATAGAATTGTGTTCTCAAGCATCTAAATTCATATAATGAGCCAATTGCAGTTTATCAAAATAAAATGAAATGAGATATGACCAGGCGTGTTAAGAATTAGCAATGACAATTAACACATATGCAAATATGTGGTACCCCGCACAACGTACTTCGCGCACAGTAAACGCTGCGCAAAATGAACTTTTTTTTCGGGCGCGAACGTACTACACAACAAACTTGCTTCTCAACGTACATTGTACTCAATAGTTTACATTTGTAGTCAAAAACTAGCGGGGCGCATGGCATCGTGCCTTAAGGTAAATTGCTGGAACTTCCCGCACCAAAAAATTTTTTTTTTAACATTCTTGAAAAAAAATTACTCTGAAAAAATTAGATTTTTGAGAAACTATAAATTTTTGACAAAAATTTACTTTATTTTTGAAAAAAAAAAGACTTTTTGAAGAAACATTTATTTTGAAATATTTTGGAAGTTCTGAACTTTTTTTTAAAGCAATCGTACTGCTTTAACTGCATAGAGAAAAAATATCGAAGCGCGTAAGCGTCGCGTCGCCATCTAACAGATAAACTTTGGTACTGAACCCATAGGAATGTAAACAAAATTTATACTTATTGATAAATTCTCTATAAAATATCTGATAATTTGATGTGCGTATGTCTAATGATCATTTTTGACCGCCAAATGGCATTTTTTTTTACTTTTCTCACTAGATCTGCGAAACCGCTAAACCTGCCTTCATGAAAATTTAGTTGTTCAACTTGTCAATACAAGTAAAATGCTTTTTGAATTATTAAAATCGGGCACTCCGTTCTCTTACAAACTGAGTTACCGTTTGTGGCACTTTTGGCCCCGTGTCTTCAAAACGGCTAGACCTGCCTATGCCAAAAACTAATCAGCACGTATTCTTATTAAAGCAATAGAATGTTATTTGAATAATTGAAATCGGTTGAACCGTGTTCCTGATATCGTCGACGAAAATTTGTATCCGCACACATACACACCCACACATAGACACACATACATCCATTTTTTCTAAGGTATGCCAAAATGTTCAGAAACCTCTGAAACGTAAAGATATATAACAATTTTCATTTTCGAGTTTTTTGCGATTACTATAACTTACCCTACGGGAAGTTAATATGTTGCTCAAAGTGATTTTAAAAGTGAATGACCCAAGAAAATTTTCTCCCTCTGTGAACATATACTTGTTGAAGAAAAATCTCACACTTAAATCATCTCGTTATTCACATTCACACCCCAAAGATCTTGGAAGTGGATGATCACAAACCGAGTAAGAAAAGATCAGTCAGCAGATTTCTAACGCATAAAGTTCATAAAGTACTTTTTGATCCAATGAAAAGAAGTGCAAGAATTCGTAAATATTTACTTTAATAACATGAGGCTAAAAAAACGGAAATTTGTACAATAATAAGCTTGCCTATCATTTGCGGTAGCTCTTAAAAGAGAGATTAAAAGTAACAACTACCTTTAAACCTTTAAAAATTCTGGAGCAAAAAGGGTAAAAAAAAGAAACAGTAACACTAATAGTAAGTTTCTTCGTAAATTAGTATTGTTTTTTTTAATGTCTTAATTGTATGTAAAATATATTCTATTACCATATTTCAAACTACAGAACAAATTAATTTTATTTTCAAGTATTTGTATGGAAAAACGCGTTAATCAAACTTATCGCATAATAAACTTTTTCCTTCTGCTTTAGAAACTATTAAAAAAAGCAATTGTTTGATCTATTTGTATTTTAACTTTAACTTTAATTTACCTTTTACTTTTTACTTTAATTTAACTTTAATTTATTGAGAAACATTCGATTCTTATTGATAGGGTGATGTGCTCATTAGTTTTTGGCAAAGGCAGGTCCAACAGTTACAGAGATACGGAGTAAAGAATGCAGAAAATACAAATCGAGTTTTTGAGAGAACGGAGTATCCGATTTGAATGATCAAAAAAACATTGAATTTGTAATGAATGAAAAACAATGAATTTGTAAACATTGAATTGGGAGAAGAAGTGATTAGTTTCTGGCAAAGAAAGGTCTACATTTCGAAGATGCAGAGCTAAATGTGCAAAAAATGGCAGTTTTTGAGATAACTGAGCGACCGAATTGAATGATGCAAAGAACTTTCTGCTTGTTTTAACAAAATGATTGCTTTTGAAAAAAAATCTCATTTTTTTTTTTCAATTTTTTTTTGTATATCGACTATAATTCAGATTTTAATTTTGATTCTGACTAAAGTTCTAAAATTTATATACTTTATTAGTTTTAACTTTGCAATTCAGTTTATATAATTCTTATAAATATTAGACAATGTTACAATATTTTTAATAATTTATTCGAAGACATTTAATATTCTTCGAACATTTCGTTACGGTACGGGAAGTTCAGCAATTTGCCTTAAGGCACAATGCCATACACCACCAGTTTCGTTATACACCGTGAAAGTAGTTGAATTTGATTCATATAAATTTCTTCATTTGTTTATTAATTTATTAGTTTTAGGGCAACGAACTATCCTATTGAAAAATTGAATAATCTCTCCTCTTGTCATTTTTCAAATAGGGAAACCCACTTATATATTTACTATTGAGACTTCACACTCCGCCCAGAACTTTATTTTAACCCTTTCGACTCGGATGCCGCCGCTCCGGCGGCATAGTCATTTTACCGTTGCGCATGATATGTTTTACCGTTAAGCTCGGATGCCGCCGCTCCGGCGGCAAATCGTATCGGCGACGACTCGTCGCAAACTATACTTACATTTTTTTTTTTTATTTTTTTAAAATTAATTTACTATTACATTCATTTATTGATTGATTTATTAATTTTATAAATAAATATATAACAAAATTAATTTATTAGCTCATGATCCCCATAATTCTAATAAAGATCTGTGAAGAAATGATTTTTTAAACAATCTAGCATGGTTTTGAGTGCATTTTTTTTAATTTTCAAAATTTTCTATTTTATTATCATAATAACTATATTTAAAAGCAATATAACCACATTTTGAAAAAATCCGATACAATAAAAAATTCCGAGTTGAGAGATAAGTATAGCACTATAATATTCCAAGCGCAGCGTACCGACTGGCAGTCCGACTCCCGAGTCGAAAGTGTTAAATTTGTCTGGATTATTTGGTATATTTTGTGTAAATCTTCACCTACATTTCGGTGAAAACAACTCCCTAATTATTTTCCACCGGTCAAATTAACTGACCGCGATAGTTAAACCACATACATAACAATTTTTTCGGATAATAGAAAAAATAATTTAAATCAAACAGTGAAGAAAATATTATTAGTTTGTTTCAAGAATTATCATATATTTCGAAAATGGTATTTGACGTTTAAAAATTTGACGAATTTATACACAACGTTTGAAACGGTCAATTTGATCGGAGTTATTAGGTTTAGTGTTAACCCCTTAACTTAAAATGACGAGCAGAGCCCGCGAGCGATTGCTATGCCAAAAGTGAATATTACGGGTTGTGAAGTGAATATAGTTCGCGTACAATATTCGGGCCAGAAGCAAATATTACGCACTTCGGGCATGATCCGGTATGGTTAACGCAAATATTATAAAATATTTATTCATACAAAACTATAAAACACAAACTTATTTTTATTTTGTGATAAACCGTATACTATGAGGGAAAATAGTCACAAACGCCGCGCCAGCTTGAACAACTTTGAGCCGAAATTTTTGAATCTAAATTGTAAGTTAAGGGGTTACCTTACAATGACGAGCATAGCCCGCGTACGATGGCTAGGCCAAACGTAAATATTAGCGTAATCGAGCCAGAAGCAAATATTACGCATTACGGGCATTATCCGGTACGGTGATCGCACGTATTACAATATATTTATTTATACGAAACTATAAAACACAACATTATTTTTATTTTTGTGATAAACTATACACTGTGTGAGAAAATGCTCTCGAACGCTGCGCAGGCTTGTACAACTTTAGCCCAACATTCTCGAATCCAACAGCTTTTAAAACGCATAATTCTTATTACTGTTCATATACACAAAATAGATTATTAGATGTAACAGAAATAGTTTACACGAAATTACACGCTTAGAAATATTCTGTAATTCACTTACAGTATTTAAAACTTGAAACCAAGTTCTGAGAGTCTTCGGCATGATGACATTCGAATACTGAACTATCCAACAAATCTTCCGATTCGTAGCCCAGTAACTCCTTCATTCTAGAAGAAAATGATAATTGAATCTCTTCCCACAAAAATTTAAGTAAAAACATCAAAAATAATTATATGGAGAATTATTCCTTACTTGTCATCGACATAGGTAAACCTCAATTTCATATTATGTTTAGTAAGAAAAGTTTTCGAGTCTAAAGGAATTTCAATATTCGATGGATGTGGAATAGGTCTTGCTACTGCTAGAAAACACCCTGCAAGTTTCTTGTTGTCTTTGCATTCATTGTCGTTTTCTTGTAAAATATGGCCCGTGCAGTGAATTACCTGAAAAAAAAAAGAAAATGTCAATAATATTTGTAAACAAAAAACATGATAGGTGTCGATCTATATGAATCAGATAACAGGGATCTACATTAAATAGTAAAATAAGAATATTTATGGATGATTTGCACGTTTGAATGTTGGAACTTAAATGATAAAGGCAAAATATTTTATAACGTAAAAGTATCAAAGAAAATATTTGAACTTCCTCTATGAAACAAAAAAATAGGCACAGCTTTTTTTCAAAGTTTACTTCAAAAAATAAACATTCAAACATTTATACCCTAGAAAAAGAGAGTGTATAGAAAAGATGAAGCTTAAAGAAATATAATAAATAATTTGATTTGATTTGATCAGATAATTATTTATCTGATTATAATCACAAATAAAACTCTGTATATAATTTTAAAATATTGCTTACCTTATACGTGGCCGATTTAATATTAACATTCCTTCCTTTACTCGTTAACGTGCATTTTAACCTTAAGAAAAGTGAGTATACATCTTTTGTTGGCTTGAGTTTGGTGGAAGTGGCTTCTTTAATTTCATTATGATCACAAGGATGACTGAAGTCGAACATACTTTGACCCATTAAATCGATCTGGAAAGAAAGTAAATTGCAGGTTATAAAAATAAATAGTAGATTCGATTAAGAACAGTTCTCATTTCACTTGTAAATTTAGGAGGAAAGTAAGACTATTGTTCAAGTGACGCTGAAGATATTTCGATATGTAACTTTTGTAGTTTAAGCAGATCTAATTTCGAAATAAAATATCCTTTATATATGATAATTAATATTTTTTCTATTCTATTTAATTTTGAATTTCATGATTCATAAATTTATTATAAAGACTACGAGCTAGCTATATGTACTATATGTATATAGTATATATGTATATAGTATTCTTACTTATTATCACTAATTGTATTTTTTTCATCTACCCTTATTATAAAGAAAAACTAATTTCATGAACAGTTTTAAATTACATACATGTGGGAGAGTTAGACATTAAAGCATTAATATTTATGTTTTTTTAACAATTTTCCACAAAACTTGACGATCACATCACATTATAATCATAATTACAAAATTGGCTGCCTGTATAAAGTAATTTTTTTGACCTTGATGTCAAATATATATTATTTGTGTTACGTGTTTAGCGCGGGAACTTTGACCTAGCTTCTCTATGCAACGTTGCAGATTTTTTTTAAATGATACATATATACATACATAAATATGTAGTTCTTACCGTTCGTAGATATAAATAAAGTAAATTCTTTACTATTCGGAAGTTATTAAAAAAAAGTATAATAGATAAAAAAAAATGTTCTTAATCATTCCTGATTTCTGTATTGTCAAGAAGCATACGCTATTCAGAATGTTTGATATAAAAAAATAATACATATTGTAGAAATATGGTGGCACACATATACTGTGTTTCATGTGCGCAATAACATGTTAATTGCTAACGCACCTGGTCATATTACATTTTGTTTTCAACTGACAGAAGGAGAAATTTATGTTTTCGCCAGAAAATATTTTCGACATTATGAATGAAATAAGACCAAAAATCGAATCTTTCTTTTTGACCACTGAATGATAAGCCATTTATTAACTTCCCGTAGGGTAAGTTATAGTAATCGCAAAAAAATCGAAAATAAATTTTTTTATATCTCTACGTTTCAAAGGTTTTTAAACACCGATCAAACGATTTGAATGATTAAAAAAACATTCGATTCGTATTGATAAGGAGACATGCTGATTAGTTTTTGGCAAAGATAGGTCTAACAGTTCCAAAGATACGGGGCAAAAAGTGCCAAAAACGGTAACTTAGTTTTTAAGAGAACGGAGCGTCCGATTTTAATAATTCAAAAAACATTTTACTTGTATTGACTAGATGAACTGATAAAATTTTTGGAAAGACAGGTCTAGCGGTTATGGACTCTCAATAAAAATAAATGAAAAAAAAATCATTTGGCGGTCAAAAATAATTCTTGAACTAATTTGATAGAATTTTAATAATGTGTACATATTTTGTGTTTTTTTTTTTTAGTTCCGTACCAAGATTTTTAATTACGGTACGGAAAGTTCCAGCAATTGCCATGCACCCCGCTAGTAGTTTCAGAAGACATTTTGATTAACTCCATTCTGCAGTGTATATGTTCGGCTAAGCAGGATTTTGGGTTTCGAATTCATGAATAACGGATAAGTATTTAATAAAAATTAAACCATACGATTGTTTAGCAAATAACTGTAGGGTCTCGTGGGTCTCGAGAAAATTCATCTTGCTTTACAAATGAACAGGAAAATTTATACCATTTAAACGTGTCTATAGTGAACAAAAAATTTTGAAGCCATTAATATAAGAATGTCTGTATCAGAGTCTCATGACTAAAATGTTTGAATAATATACATTACTATTTATTATATTCTAAAGCTAGAACTTTGACAAAGGAAAAATTGAGAGAAATGAAGGATTTGCTAAAATTCATTCCTCCCGTTAATAATAAATACTACAAAAACTTGACAGAAATTCTAATTGACAAATCATCACAGAATACAGCTGATAAAGAAAATATTTATAATATTGCTGATTATTCACAAATAATATATAAGGTTGTCAAATATCTCCCTTCCGCTTTTTTGCTCTTTATTCAATGCTTTATAAAAAGTGTTACAGTGATCGGATTTAGTTCAAATATGCGCCGTTTTGTTCGATAATCTGTTTCCATCTAGACGGCAACTTCATAATACCTCCCTCGTAGAAGCCACCTCCTTATTTGCGAAGAACTCGGACAGCCACTTTTCACAAGCCTCTTTTGAGTTCAACTTTACACCACCAAGGGCATTCGCCATGGACAGGAACAGGTGATAATCACTTGGCGCTATGTCCGGGCTATATGGTGGATGCGATAAAACCTCCCGTCCGAGCTCCCGTAGCTTCTGACGAGTCATCAACGAAGTGTGTGGTCTGGCGTTGTCCTGGTGGAACACTACACCCTTCCTGTTGGCCAATTCTGGACGCTTCTGGTCGATCGCCTGCTTCAAGCGGTCCAGTTGTTCGCAGTAGATGGTAGAATTAAGCGTCTGGCCATATGGGAGCAGCTCATAGTGGATGATTCCCTTCCAATCCCACCAAACACACAGCAAAACCTTCCTGGCCGTCAATCCCGGCTTGGCCACTGTTTGGGACGATTCACCGCCCTTCGACCACGACCGTTTTCGCTTGATATTGTCGTATGTGATCCATTTTTCGTCGCCAGTCACCATCCGCTTCAAGAATGGGTCGAGTTCGTTCCGTTTCAGCAGCATATCGCAGGCGTTGATTTGGCCCAGAAGGTTTTTTTGCGTCAAATCATGCGGCACCCAAACATCAAGCTTTTTTTGTATCCAGCCTTCTGCAGATGGTTTAAAATGGTTTGGTGACTAACTCCCATCTCCTGGGCGATGTCACGAGATGCCACATGCCGGTCTAACTCGATGTATTCCATGATTTGATCGGTATTTGTCGTCACAGGTCTTCCGCCGGCTGGCTTATCCATGGTGTCGTTTTCACCGGCTCTGAATCGTCGAAATTATTCCTCCGCGGTTCGAAATGATAGAGTACCATCCCCCAAAACACCATTAATCTCACGGAACGTTTCTCTAGCGGATTTGCCTTCAACGAAGGAAAACTTTAAAATAGCGCGAATTTCGGCGTTAGTGAACTCCATGTTTACACGTCTATAACTGTTGAACGCAATATCCAAACTAATCATGCATAGCGTCGTTTTGTAGGTTATGTCAAGACCTTTCAAATTATGTATACACAAATATATAAGAATTAGATTTATTACTTTTTTCAGTTGAGAACTTGGTGAACTCCAGAAGTCATAACAAAACTTTAACTTTATTGATAATTATTTACTCTCTAATAATAGATATTAACTTAAATCTTAATAACTGACTTGTTTTGTGCGACATTTCTTGGGTATAAAGCTAGTTTCAAAAATAATCATATGTTTTCATTAAATTTTTTAAAATGTAGATTTATCCTATCTCAAAATTTGATATTTTTTGTAAATTATTCTCAGGTATTTTGTTGAACTACTTTTCAAATCGGTCTTTGCAGAAATAAAGCAGAATAAAAGCTTATAAAATAAAAGAATCGTCCTTGTGTCAAATGACCCGGCGTGGTCTGTAACTGTATACATTAAATATTACTCAAAATAAACAACACAAAAAATGAAAAAACTATTTTAACAATATAGCCCATCACTCAATAAGTCCGTAGGATAATACATAGATGATGTAGCTATGTAATCATTCATATGATTTGTAGAAAGAAACAACTTTAAGAAGTTGTGTGCCAAAAATTCATGACAATCGGACGATTAGTTTACATGTTACAGAGGTTCTGATGGACATATTGTTCTCGAATATTTGAATAGGAAAAGCCTCTGTGTTAAATGGGTGCCGCGCAAACTCACATTTGGATGAAAAGCATATCGGGTTGATGATTCGTAAGAGTATCTGGAGTTGTCTAATCGAAATAAAACTGAGTTTTTGAATCAATATGTCACCAAGGATATGACCTGACAACACTACACTCCGGAGTCGAATAGACAGTTAGCCCAGTGGACTAGAGACGATGACGAGAAAAAATGCAACCAATCAGCTGACAAGGTTATCGCGTCAGTTTTTTTGGGATATGCAAGAAATGATCTTCATCAAATATCTGGAAAAAGATCAGGCCATCAACTTTGACTATTGTATAATGTTATTGAAACATTTGAAAATCGAAATCGGAAAAACGGCCCCTTTTGAAAAAGGAAACCGTGCTGCTCCATCAGGACAAAGCACCAAGTCACAATTCTGTGAAAACAGTGGCCAAAAACAAAAATGAATTAGGCTCCGAATCACTTCCCCATTCACTATATTTTCTAGATCTGTTCCCCAGCGACCATATCCTGTTTTCAGATCTCAAAAGAATGCTCGCTCTAAAGAAATGTTTGCCAAATGATGAGATGATTGACGAATTTTGTAGCTAAGTACAAATCCTATTACAAAAATGGGTTCGAAAAGTTCGAAGTTCACTATAATCGGTATATCGTCCTCGAATGAAACTGTATTGAATAAAAAAAAGAAAAATTTGCCAAAAAAATGGGTTTTTCTACGGACTTATTGAGTAAAGTGATATATGATTATTACGAGAAGTTCCGAACGTCATATTTTCATAAACAATAAAATTATAGATGCTTTTCCATTTCGAAGTTCAAAGCGGGTCATTTGACCCGCCTTTGGTATGATTAGTGTCAATTAAAATTACGAAAAATAAGCTACAATTTTAGAACATACAAGTACATATCTGTTCACTATAAATAATATAATTGCAGATAATTTTAATGTGTTTGAAAGATATCAACTGGAAATCGCATTGACTAGTTTTAGCGAAAACAAGCACTATATTCGAAATAAACAGTTGAAAATTTTATCTGTATATCTATTTTTATCTAATCTGAATCTCGGTTCTTTAAGTCATCTATCGGGTAGTTTGTTCAACGTCCACTTTCAACTAGTTATATAATTGCTATTCGCCCATTGTTGTTAAATTTCATAAATTACATGCCTGTGAACAAAATTTGCAACCTAATTCTTAACGAGCCTGGTCATATCTCATTTCATTTTGTTTTGATAAACTACAATTCGCCCATTATATAAATTAGATGCCTGAGAACCGTATTCCATTCATATTAATTTATAGGTATTAAATTTCATATTAACAAGAATATTGGTATGGTATATTCGTAGTTTTTAATCTCCTGTTTAATTGGTTTATTTATATTGAATCGAAAAGAATAATTTTAGTGTATGTTGTTAATACAATATAATTAATACAATGCGATACATTTTTTATTGTTTTTGTTTCCGCTATTTGGCAGCAAATAAAAATTTCAAGAATACGTTTTACACCAAACTTTAAAATCAACTATTATATACTATTCATGCAACTGGTCCTATAAAAAAAATAGATTATTATTATTAAAGAAAAGTAATATCTTAAGTACAAATTCAAAGTCTAAATTATAGAATATATGCCGATGGCTAAAAGGGAAATAAGTATCCAGCACGCCTGCAAAATCATCAAAGAATGTTTGAGCAAACAGAAATTTAAAGTCTTACAGAGATCTGCACAGATTCCGGACCAAATTCCAAAAGATAAGTAACTCCCTAAGCTAAAATACAGCAATTACAAAAAAAAAACAAGAGATTTTTTTGTGAAAATTATTTTTGATAAAATTTATTTAAACAATGTTAAAAAAGCATAAAAGAAAAAATAAAATGTTAACAAATTCGTTCAATTCAAGACCACACCCTCACCATAATAATTCAAGATAAACAAGGGTAAATTCTAATACCATTCCAAACATCCAAAATAAATAACCTAAATAAGCTAAAGTCTATAAATGATGTGTTAACTTAAACTTCTTTTATATACTTTAAATAATAAACATTATTCAAAAAAGATGTTATATCATTTAGCCAAGTAATTATATTTAATGACAACAGTTGTGTTCTTATCAGTTATTTATAAGTTTTATCTTCTCTATTTTTTAATAATGATCTCAATTTTTGTAATTTTCTGTTATAAAAATCAGTAGAATCATTTACTATAATTTTATATGTCTGACACTAATTTGTTCATGTGATCACCATATTCTGATTAGTGCCATATTTACTTTGTCAGACATGCTTATAATGATATTTTTATTTTTTCTTTGCTGATGTATAATTTCAATTTTTTTTAATATATGGAATTAAATAAAAAATGTTTCATTTTTCATTTTAGAAAAATTATTAAACAAGATTAACGTTTATCTCGAAATAGAATTATTGATAATAAACAGGATACATAAAAATAAATCGAATTTCTGAGGAGGACATCTCACGTCCATGAAATGTTGTGTAAAACAATTTGAAGAAAAAAGCAAACTTTTAGTTCAGACATTTGAAAATCGTAATATCTATAGTATATAAAATGTAAATAATATTTTGTTTTAACAGTTCATAAAAAAATGATCACCTACATCCCTGAAACTTCGATAAAATAAAATAAGAATCTTTTTGAAAAAAGAACATTTATATAAAAATAAATGTGATTCAGTTATATATTGGTTAAATTCAATAAGTTACTACCTGAGTAATTCCAAGATATTCGTTGACATTGCTTGATACGTATACGATATCGTTTTCAGGTGAGATCATGATCAAAAATCCTCCAAGCGCCTGTAATAAGAAGTTTTCATTGTCCTTATTCGATAATGAGGTTGAGCAAATATCCTCTTCTGGAACAACTGAAAATTAAAAACAGCATGCTTAATAAATAACTAGAGAATTTCGAATGAAAATAATTAAATTTTTGTCAAACATAAAATAGCCACGAATCTCAAAAATGCACACTCCAATTTTTGGCATTTATATCTCATTTTATTTATTTAATATAAAAAATAGTGCCTAAATATCCAACTACATTTTAATAAATTACTAGATTGACAAATAAAAAAAAATGTATTCGCGCACGCACACATACTCACACACACACATATCCTTTTCTAAGGTATGCCAAAATGTTCAGTAACCTTTGAAACGTAAAGATATATATAAAATGTTCATTTTCGATTTTTTTGCGATTACTGTAACCTACCCTGCGGAAGTTAATTATCAATCAGATTTTAGTAATTTCTAGTACAAAAATGTTCGCAGAAGGTAATGGAATCTGCTAAATAAATATATTTAACGTGTTCTATAAAAGCAATAAAAACGTTTAATAACTCCAGTTACTAAATCAATTCAAAGAAATATCATTCTAGAGCAAGGGCAAGTAACCTTTTTCATCCACGGGCCAATTTAAATTTTAACATTTTATGGCGGGCCGCACGTAATTTATACTAGCTGACCCGGCCCTAAACGTTTAGCCACAGGAAACAGTTTTAGAAAATAAATATGTGGTATATGTGGTATATAAATGAAAAAGGCAGCTAACACAAATTACATTGATAATTTGCCCACTGCAACGCTAAAATGCTTAGCGAATCGAGTGAGATTTCAATAACTCTGAAAAAAAAATCCAGTTTTCTATCAAAAACACCATATTTTTGCTAGAATTGCTCCTTCTGCAAGACATTCAAAAACTATTATTCTTCCTATGCACATCGGGAAATAGTTGTACGATAGCCTGCGAATTAGTTTTATCGTAGGTAACACCATTTCGTTGCCAATATCTAAGAATTGATTTTAAAGTGTTGCTGTGGATAAAGCGGATAAATTTAAGCTTATCCATAAGTTCAGAAATCAGAAATAAATTGCTTTTTTTTAATAAAATTGAAGCTTTTTCACAAACTCAAAAGTCTGAACTAAAATTAAGTTGACTGAGCGTCGTCAAGATTACAAAACTGCAACAAAAAAAAACAAAATACAAAATTGAGGAAAGTATTTATTTTATATAATTACAAGTGTATATAAATATTAACCCCTTCGACTCGGATGCCCCGGAAAATATCGGGATTCGCGAGTGGAAAGTGTTAATATAAAATGAAGTGTTAATATACAATGATAGTTGAACAGAAAAACTAGTTTACTTGAAAACTTTATTGAGAAATTTGGCACTGCTTATTTTATATAAGCTGATCAATATCAGCCGTTTCTGTTAAATTTTGTTCTTTATTTTAATTTTTTAATGCGGAAAGTAATATCGCGTACGCAGCTTTAATATGTTTTACTCAGTTTTGATCGATGGTAATATTATTTGAATTTTATGGTTGAAATTAACACATGTCCACAAAAAAAAATTGTCTGGATTAGGTTTGTGACATATGATTTCCAATGTACCTTTTACCGCTGAAGATAAATCTATAGTCAAAATTGGGGCGCAAAATATGGAAAAACATTTAAAAACTGTCACAATTTTCAATTTAGATTTTTTTCTGAATTAATTAATTATTTTCAAGCGACTGTTCTTTTATGGATCTGTGTAATTGTTCGCGCACACACCGTATGTGACATACGTAATTCAAAAAAAAAATTATAATTTTCACTGCGTCATTAAATCATTTAACAATGTCTTGCGGACAAAAGCCACGTTCAGGGTAAAATATCTGTCGTCTTTGGTATATATATATATATATATATATATATATATATATATATATATATACACACACATACTAGCTGTCCCGGCAAACGTTTAGCCATAAAAATCATTATCATAGAAACTTTTTAATATAAAAAATAACTGATTGTGAATGTAGAAGTTTGTGGTATATAAATAAAAGGGGCAACTAACGCAAGTTAAATTAATGGTTTACCCACTGCAACGATTGCCTCATATAAATATTCCTGGGTCATTTTAAGTCATTATAAGTGCCAGCCTAATCTTGAACTGAATTCATATAAATTGAATAGGCACAATAGAAGATTCAATGTTTTGAAATATTATTACAGTGCTTTTCATTAAATTTTAACTTAAGTTATTGTGATAGTCCAAAAATCCAAATTGAAAATTTTTAATTATCTTTAGGTTTCAGAGCTTTCTAAACATTTGGCATATCTTGAAAAAAATTGATATGTGTGTATGTGTGGATACAATTTTTGTCGTCAATTGCGGGCGTACGGAACAACCGATTTGAATGATTCAAAAAAACAATCGATTCCTATTGATAAGGAGATGGGCTGATTAGTTTTTGGCAAAAGTTGGTCCAGCCGTTGGAGATATGAAGCTAAATGTGGGAAAAATGGAAGTTTCCACACGGTACCTAGTTCATTCTCAACAACTGTTGTATTTTTAGATTATAATATTTTTGCTCTTTTGCAAGCCGTTTAGAAACTATGTACTGAGCGTGCACATCGGTCAATATTTGTACAAAGAGAGAATATTGCGAATAGAAGATCATTCGAAGTCGATCGATTTTCCGAGGCATCTAGTTTTATCGATGGTAACCTTTCCGTCGATAATATCAAAAAATTGTTTTGCAAATTTTAAGCTTTTCAATAAGCTCTTGATCAAAGTTCAATGAAAAACGTTTAAACAATAATTGATCAGTTATCGAGCTATGTAAAAAATTAGTAAACTACGAAAATAAATATTATAAAATAGGGACTTATGGTAAAATGGGATTTATGAAAATTGTATTTTTCAATTCCGCTTTGAAAAATAAAAAAAAAATGCCCCCGAAATTAAAAAGTATTTTCTGGGTTCGACAACCCTTGATAAAAATAAATTGTTGTTTTTTTTAATATTAATTGGATTTAGCTTTTAAATATTATTTTAAGCTTTTTCATAAACTCAAAAAGTCTACCCTCTTTTTGAAAAAATATACTAAAGTGTGTTGGCAAGTTTCATCAAGGATTGTAAAATACTTGATTGTTTATTATTATTAAAATAAAATTAAATATAATTTTAATTAAATTAAATAATAAGTAAATTAAATAATAATAAAGTATTGAGGCTTCATAGCATGTGAGCCAATTTGTGATTTTACATTGACATTTTTCAAAAACGGTTGAGCCGATTTCAAAAATTTAAAAGCTGTTCGTTGTAACTCCATAACAACTATCGTTCATCAGCTTCGCGCGACGATCGTGCAAGACGTTTCTTTATTATTAGCAGAAAAGAAATCCCAAATCGATTTTAAAAATTTGAGAACCGATCCAAAGATATCATTTGCAAATCGTGCTGGTTAGTTCTTATCAAATATCGGCCGGGGCGTTTTTCGTACTTGTTCATACTTAACGAACATCCTAAAACATTAGAAGCCTACTAAAATTGGTTGTATTGTAAAAATTTTAATTGAAGTTTCAATTAGTGAGACAGTTGTAAGACATAAGCGTATGCTTGTGTACTATCATTATTATAATTACATGTATCATAAAAATACTTGAAAGATATCTTTAGCAAATCGTATTTATTAGGTTTTAGTGGAAACAAGAACTATATTTTCAAAATAAACTGTTGAAATTTTATCTAAATCAACTTATGCAACTTATACCTAGGTTTCTTTCTTTTGTCATTAGGGCTATTATGAAAGACCAGTATCCTATTTGACTTTTTAGCTTTTAGCCGCATTAAAATCATTCATAGCACAATGTGATAACCCCCACGAAATATATTCAGAGACCAGTATAAACTTTGTTGAAGCGGCATCAGAACTAAAAGAGATTCAGATGTTTTTTTACAAAATAATAAAACAAGATAATCGTAACAAATAATTTGGAAAATGAATCTATATCGTGGACTTATATCTGAGCAACTACTATCATTTGGGAGGCGGGCAACAAATCTAGTAAGTCATATTTGAAACGTGTTTATTTTCTAAATAACATAGCACGTGCATCTACAACAAGTGCACAACACGTGCTTGTATGTTTTAAAGGTACGGCTAATTAATCCAAACTTTAATGAATTTTTATAATCGACCACTTTTCATAGGACTATAATATTTTACTATGTTCGCTGAGCTCATGAACTCAAAAATATTTTCAATACTGATAAGGAACCCAGCACGTTTTAGGTAAAAATTATGCACATCTCTTTAAAAATCTGTAATAAACCAAATGCCAATTTTCAATACTTTTTCCTCTATACCTCCGAAAACCGCTAGACCTCCGTTCTCCAAAAACTAATTATTTCTCCACACCGTCAACTCAATCTGAATCAATCTAATCCAAGGATGAGCAATACGCTGCCCGCCAAGCATTTCTCAACAACAGATTTTTTTAGATATTTTATCAAATACGGCTGTAAAGGTTAATTTTGTTATCAGCCAAATACTGGTAAAAACTGTTGTTCGCAGAAATATCATTTCCTTATAAAATAAATATTATTTTAAATATTAGTTTAACAAGCTTCAATATTGCAAGAAAAATTGAGAACATAGTAACAACGCATACCCAATTTTAAAATAAATAAGTAAATCTTATGAAGTTGCGATCACCGTAAATTTAAAGAGTTCCTGAACAATTTAAAGCGTGAATATGACAATGCGATTTTCAATACGAAAGTATGTTAGCTCCATGGAGGTGCAACACTTAAAGGTGTATAGGATCCAAATGGCGAAATACAATTGTTCTTGGATATAAAAGAATATACCTTTCCTCATTTTAGTATTGAAGAATGAGCGATTTTGTATTTTTTATCGACATCGCTCAGCATCTCAATAATTTCGATGTGGAAATTCAAGGAAAAGAACATTTTATTTACAATTTGTATGCTAAAATTCAAAGTTTTGAGTGCAAAATAAAAATTGTAGAAAAAATATCTATTGCAGAATCTTGTGTTTCACTTTCCATATTTAGCAAA